GACAAAATCGTTGAGACCGCAAAATCAATTTTTTCCTACCAACTCCACCGCCCTCAATCCAACCCACGCACAACAAAGCCTCACAACGATGTCTAAAGAGTTTTCCACGCCTAAAAAAGCACGCGTGCAAGCCGTATGCGATTTCCTTGATACAGAAAAGCGTCCCTACAGTTACAATGCCGTCTACGATGGTTAGCCCCTTAGATTTTAGCCCCTTTTTTTTTTGCGGTCTCAACGATTTTGTCATGGGGGTGACAGTGTTTCTGTCTGAACGGCCGGTGTGCACAAGCGTGGAATGGGGCACTCGACAGGGGGAGCAGGAGCCAGTGCGCTGCCGACAGAGATTCGTTCGAACTGAGCTCGATGAATGAGCTAGGGGAGGACCCCCAGAGCCACCACCTCCTCCTCCTCGAGTCTTTTTTCACGGGACCGGGGTCGGGGAGGGGTGTGTGGGATGTGAGGGTGGACGGGGAGGGATGCCTAGCAGAGGTCTGGTCTCGCCCTACCCGCCGCCTGCCTGTGCTTGCAGCGAGTTGTTGCAGTCAGTGTGTGTGCTTTCCGTTTCTTTTACTTGAGCAGAACAACCTCCACCCACAACCCACCCACTAGGCTCAGCAGGTCAAGGCTGGTACATACAGGGGCAGCACAGGTTCCTTGCGGCAACCTACCCAAGCGCAGGCCCGCCTAAAGCGCCGCTATCTGTCTACTGGGTGGGGACAGCTGCAATCGTAACAGCAACATGAACCTTGCAGCGTGGAGCCAGCACCCAGGCCGCAAAAGAAGAAAAATATCAGCACGCACGGCGAGGTGTGCGCCACTAAAGAGCAGCTACCACGGATACGACGTAGCAAAGGCAGTGGCACGGAAATCACAGGGCGACCAGACTAGACGTAGGCGCGGCTTGCTCAGCGCGCATGCAATGCAGCATGGAGCCAGCACCGTCAAGACCAGACGGCGATTCCCCTTCCCCGGGTCATAGCATCCAGGTTTGCTGTACACAGTAGGGATTGAGGACTACAGACTACAGGCAGCGGGGCCGAGGGCACGGGGGTGTGGGTGTTTGGGTCGGTGTTTTGCTCATGGCCAGTGCTTGCACAGTCCACCGTCACATCATCGAGTCGAGCAGGCTGATGACCGCACCTTGAGCTGCCGCCGGAAACAAAGCAAAAAAATTGACAGCAAGGAAAGGGCATGCAGCGCCCAGCAGCATACAAGGGACAGGCAGGGAGCGCACAATGGATGATGAATCGAGGAACGGCAAGGTGCCCCGGCCAAGCACGCCTGTGCAGGCCGAACGAAGGCCCTTTCATCACATATTCCGGCGGGCGGGGGCTGGGGTGCGGCTACGCAAGGGCAGGGGCGTCATCGGCGCTCGTCTCAAAGCGCTCGATGGACATGCAATACGTCTACAGAGGGGCCACGCCGAGCACCTCATCATCGACGCGGCGTCCCCCTGTCCAAGGCGGGACTTGGTCGGCGATCAATTGGCTGCGGGCAAGACCAACAAACAATCAACGACAACAAGACCAAGAACAGAGGTGTACATTTACACGCCTGCACCTGCACACGCACGCACACGCACACCTTGCTGGGCTGCCCATCATGCCGTCGTGTTCTAGCCACTGTAACCTGCCGGCCGGCTGCTTATCCGTTCGGTATTCCTAAATAGCCTCCAAGTAGAGTTAACGAGGACTTGGCGGTACGGACGGAAAGAGGTCTAGGTAGAGGTCTAGTTAGCGTGTCCGCGTCATTTTCTGTTTCCTGCTTCTTTATATAGCTCCGCTAAAAGCCCCCGAGTCTTATCGCTGACTCGCGGGGAGTTTGTGTATAAGGTCCCGTGCCGTGGTACATTGGCAGTCCTATCTATTCCCTAGCCACGAAATACCGCCACAGAGCAAAGTCATCACAACTAAGTCTAACAAGAACCCGAGGCCAACCTATCGTAATCAGAATACAAGAAACGATTGCCCTTGATCCGGGGCGCATTATTGCTTGTTTGGAAAGCCACAGATGCTACTGGTCAAATCGCCGGTCCCATTGGACAAAACAGCCTGCGAGGAAACCTGGGGCCGAAACGGCCGTGGGACGTGGACAAGGGGGAGCAGAGCCCTCCAATGAAGCGACAACAGGGCGAGAGATAGCGAAAGAAAGAAAAACACCAATCTCTGACCGACTGAAGAGGACAGCGCAACACTGGCTCACGGCCGGTCGGCTGGCGGGCCAGCCGGGGGGGCGCGGGGGTGCGTTTGGTGACCCCGTGATCGTGCAACAACAGGGGGGCGGCGCGGGCTTGCCAGACGCATCGAATAAGAAATGTGCGTGCTCGCCTCCCCCTTGTCGTTATTTTTTTTTTCATCATCTTTGGGACAGGTGGTGTGATGATTTGTCCTCACGCGTGCCCTAGCTAGGCGGCATGGAATGCTGTCGTCCTCTGCTCTGGCACCTCGGTGCTCCCCAACAAGAACCGGATGACATTGCAACAGGAACGTTGGCTGGTTGACGTTGAGCGAAGAAAAAGGCACATTTACCCAGTACAGAGCGCGGCCGTCAGTCATCCTTCCGGGGGGTTGGACGGTCAGGTGGACGACGCCTCTGTTGATTCCTAGAGGTCAGGCTGATTTGTCCAGCATGCCGGCAAATCGCAGGCGGTGAGCGGCGTGGGAGTGCCAGGGACGACATCCAGGGAAGAACCCGTCACGTAATGCTGCCACAACTCGCCCTAGCCAAAAGGAGAAATAAAGGCAAAACAGCAAAGACAACGGGAGGCCAATAAGAAGTCACGGGGTGGCGCTGTTGTATCAATGTAGACAGACACGAAAAGAATCAATAAGGGGAGGTATGGTAGCGGGTGTGATGGAGGGTGAGTTGACAGGGACCGGCGCGGGGGTGGTAGCATAGCGTGATGAAAGTGTGCGGCAGGATGACGAGAAAGTGAAAGACACAATCAAAGAGGAAGCGAAGATAGATGGTGGATCAATTGACTTGGCAGCCTGATCACATCGTCGATGGCTTTTTGGCTTTCCTCTCCCGCTCTGAATTTTCGCATGCTGGTTCTAACCACCGCAGCATGGCAGATGTCTCCCGCTGTACAAACAAAACGCAAAAAAAAAGAAAAAAAGACGCAAGGCGAGAAAGCCGTGGCACCCCTCAAGCGTTAGTCGACAGCAGGCCTCGAAATGTCGCCATTGCGCCGCGTCGAGGGATTACCCTAGTCAGTTGCCCGCTTGTGGGAAAGTGGTAGGTAACCTAACCTGTAACCTCTCCCCTACGCCCTGCACCCAGGTCGGGCCCCTAGCAGGGGACATTGGACGCGGCCGTCCAGACTGATAGATCGAGGCCGGACTGGGCGCGGACTCCATCAACGTGGGGCACGCATGCAAGATAAGCCAACATCCACTACCCCCCTGCTCACCGGGCTGAAAACGCAGAGCTCGCAGGTAAGAGATAAAAGGAATAGAAATACGAAGAGAAGCGTAGGGATAGTGGCCGATAGACGGAGAGATAGATATGAACGGTCAGAGCTCCAGCAAGGGAACAGCTACCCACCTGCCCGATGTGCGCGGTCAAGACGACAGTATCACGCCTTAGCAGGGTCCACCTGAAGCGCTGGGCTGGGTCGGCGCTGCGATTTGATGTCAGGGATCAACTGGCTGTGTGTGAAAGCCAATGCCAACCCGCCAAGCGACCTAGCAACTTAATCCATCCATCAGCGCGAAAGGAGGAAGGGGAGAAAAAAAAAAAAAGGGAAAGGCAAAAGCCGAAGAGACACAGATGCACTAGAAAGCCAGGGGGAAAAAAAGAATGAAAAAAGAGCACTGAAAAAAAAAGGCGTCGCAAGAAACGCAGCCAGACTTGGGTCGATACAGCAATTTTCGCTTCCCCACATTTTCCCATCAAAGTCTGATAAAGAAGGACCCTCTGATCCTTCTCGGACTCTTTTTTTTTTTTCGATGTCTTGTAGACCACGTATCATGATGACCTTACCTAGTCTGTAACTCGCTGCTGCGAGGCCAAAAGCTTCACTCACCCCGTCTTGCCCAATGTCCGTCCATGCATCCAGCTCCGCTCGACACCCGCAGCCCATTTTTTTCTTTGATTTCTCTGGCTGCCCATGTTTCCGTATTCGGGTGCACGGAAGAGCCACTTGTACTTAGGTACCTATCTAGCGAAGCATCGAGTCCTCGGGACTGCCAGCCGGACAGCGCGAGAAAGCCCCGGCCAAAGAGAGAAGCGCTGGTCCGGAGCTTTACCGGCTACCCGGTGGGGTTTTCTGGTTGTTTTTTTTGTGCCTGGGCATACGTGCGCCCTGGATATGCCAGCGTTGCGCAAACATCCCGCGGCCGGAAGGAGGGGCGTGCGTGTTGAAAAGGGTGTGCCGAAGAGGGAAAGAGGGAGAGAAGCAGAGACAGACAGCGACGGAGAGAGGTCGGAGAGAGAACGACGTGCGTAAGGAAAATCATTGATGTCAGTCAGGTAACCCCCCTCGGCGCCGGCTGCGGGTCAAGCTCGCATCTTGGCCCAGCCCCCTTGCCTTGTCCTGCTCCGCCTGCCCCGACATCTTCCGAGCTCCAATCGACCCGGCGCTGCAGATCCTGTCTACCTCTGGAGTGTTTTTTTTCTTCTCTTTCTCTCTTTTTTCTCTCTTCCTCCTACCCTTGTCGTCTGTGCATGCCTCACGCCAGGGGGGCTTGAATCCGTCCATCCAACCCCTCTCATGGGAACGTGCTAGCCGGATGATTTTTTATTGGCAGTACCCACATCGGGGTATTTTTTTGGGTTTTAGATTTTAAACCTGCCATGGATAAGAAGAAACGGAGAATGGAAAAAAAAAGAGAGAGAAAAAAAGACCAAAAAAAAAAAAAGAACGCGCTTGGTACCAGCGAGCAGGCTATGGCGCGATGCCTCGACCTAATTCTGGACCAGGGACTCGATGATGATTAGATCCAGCCCAGGACGGGCCGAACGGCTCGCGGCGGGTTGGATTTCGAATTATGGACTCGAGGCTGACCGCCTCCGTCTCTTATCACATTTTGAGTTTCTGCGCAAGCGACAAGCCGCGCGTTTGGTTGGTGGGATGGATGCCCGCGGAGGCAAGATTCCCGCCGTCGAGAGTTTGCTGTCGCTGATGCTGATATCTGACATCTCGGCGCTCACCAGACCTGCCCGCCAAAGCGGCCGCCTAGATTACACGGTAGTGTACGGTTTAATTTCTTTGTCTAGGCTTCCAAGCCCGCATCCCCGCCAGATAATGTTTCGAAGTTGTGTGTCTTGTCAATTCGTCGATCCGCACTTGGCGCACAAGCTCCCGCTCTGCCCCGACATTCCGGCACCGGAGAGAGGCTTTGACTATCTGTGTTTCAGCAGACGGTCGAAGGCCAGGCTGAACCTTATAACCGAGGACCACGCACGGCCTTGAGGGAAGTCGCCTGGGCCATGTTGGCACGCCTGACGGGTATGGACGTGTCCTCGCCTGCTATTCGCGACAGCGTCTCAGCCCGCTCAATGCGCGTCCCGATAGGCGCGCCGGGTGCCCTAGGAGAGAGGGAAGAGGCACCTGTGGCCAGAACGCCCCCGACGAGCCGATCTCCCGTATCGAGATACGGCATTTCAGACGTGGGGCCAAGCAGGGTTTCACACATGAACGATCCGGGACTTCCGCCACCTGGGAAAGGGCCCAATTGCTGTCGAGGGACACACCGGTCGGGGCCGGGCGGGCGGGCGGTCGGTCGGTCGGACGGACGGGGAAATAGCTTGGTCGGACCGCTGGGATGGTATCGAGCAACTCCAACGATGCTGGGTCGCGTCTTAACGACGAGCGAATAATACATCAATTCATTACGTGTCCAAGGCATCATGGAACACACCTCCTTGGCCCTGTGCCCGCGGCCATTCCGACCGTCTTCCAGGCCACGGGGGCTCTCGAAGAGTCTTCGTTGGCTTGGTTGGCTTCGCCGAGGTAGAAAAAGAGTCGGGTTCGTGCAGGGCCGTGTCCGTCCGGAACCGCTTAATGGGAGTAGCAGAATGGGGGTGTGGGGGTTGCCAACAAGTGGGGTTCGCGGCATGGAAGCAAATCCCGGTCGCGACGGAAAACGCCCATGCTCCACTTTCCCACGCTGGTATGTGGGACCAGGGCGGGGGAGCTCCCAGGCGGGGCAAACCCCCCCTCTCTCAGCTGCTTTTTTTTCTTGGTCGAGCGCGATAGCAAACCTCCATTAGAAAAAGAAAAAAAAAGGTCGAAAAAAAAGCTGGCCCAATGTACAAGAAAATGTGGCGGGTCATTTCGAGGCGCACCCCTACATGGTAGCGTTTTCTCATCGCTGTGGAACCAGGATGCAACTGCACCGCACAATGCGTGATTAGCCTTTTGCTTCTTGCAAGACAAAGCGCCTGAGATTGATGGAGTCGGCCCCCTCATCTGCGTCCTTTTGCGACGGCGGGAGGGGGTGGCTTGCAGTGCCTTTGCCCAGCTGGACACCGTACCCAAGGACAGGACAGGACAGGACAGGACAGAGCCGCCTCGGCCGTGAGCCATCGTCAGCTTCCACAAAAGACCAAGCCAGGGAGCCGAGCTAGACAGGGGGGTTTGGTTGATGGGCTCCGGAAGGTTTGGGCGAAGGCTTGCTGCCTCTCGATCCGGATCGCCGCCACCGCCCCTTCGGTTCACCCCCCCATCGGCTCGTCGTTCATCGTCTCCGCTAGTGTAGATGGGCACTGAGAAAGGATGAAGCACCAGAAGGACACCCCGGACCTGTGGGATTCGGAGCGACTGTTGTTTGATAGTCCTCGATGACTCGTCCTACGCTGTGGCCTTGGCACGTCGACGTCTGAGCGAATGGGGAATAGGCATCGCCCCTCTTGGCCTCTCTTACCGCGTTCGACCGGCCCTATCGGACGCTTGATCCGGTCTGATGAGGCAAGCCGAAGCGGATGGGATGATTTGGTGTGTGTGCGTGTGCGCTAACGGAGATCGGGCTGTGGCACTTTAGCGCCCTGCTCCAGCCCCCCTCGACGCCGTTTCTTTCCTTACTTTTCCCGCCTCGTGTTTCCCAGACACCGCTCGGCCAGCTAAGCTTTTCGATCCTCCACGACAGTGCCATCTTTCCCCTTTCGGGGCGGGCTTCTAGGCCACGGTCTATCTGTGGAGTGGGGTGGGTTTCAAAGGGGGCCCGTTTCGACTTCCGGGCTGGGCATGAACGGCGGCGGCTGAAAGTACCACAGTCACAGTGCTTTTCCAACCATCAAAACAGATTTTTTTTTTGTTTGTTTCCTTTTTCTCCCCGCCATCCAGGCTTTGCTCTTGGGAGTTTGTCATGGCTGGCCAATAAAGAGCCATTGATCGAACATGCCGCGTGCTTCAAGATCAGTGCTGATATGCAGCTCATGCAATCGGCCAACGAGGACGCTCAACTTGCAGCCAGGAGGTGGACGGTGACGTGGTGATCGCACCGTGGCAATCGGGTGTTTTCGCTGCTCGCCATATTAGCTTACCATGATTGATGTGACTTACCGGCCCAAGCTTGCCGGGGCAGCCCCTGGCCAGAGATAGAGAGAGGACGACAGCCGGGGAACCTTAAATTTAGGTCAGAGGTCAAAGCCGAAACCATCACAGCACTCTGGCACCGTCCACCCAAGACATCGGTTTCGCAGAAGCTTGCTCAACCCAGTCCCGAGGCCCCCCATTACAGCCGGGGAAGACAGCCGTTGCATATGCAGTTGCTAATGGGGAGGGAGCTGATGGCTGGCGGCAGAGGGGAAGAGGGGAAGCGAGGTAGCACCCAAGGAGCAGGCAGGAACTTAGAGTTGGATTCGGCATTTCCTAGCCCCCCTCGGCTCTTTGGCTTTCCTCGACGTTACGCCCGCCAGATTCTCACTCGCTGCCTGAGCGACATCAAGACACATACATTCAACATTACACGGTTCATATCTGGTGGTTCTTTTTTTTCTGGGGCCGAGACCCGCTGGCGTCCAAGCTTCGCTTAGGTTGACTGGGGCTCCGGTTTATCTTGTCAGGCCGTCTGCGGCCAGAAAATCGAAACGGGTCCGCATGCGTTTTTCGCTCATGGTTTGGCTCAATGTTCTGCCTTCTCGTCCATGTCAGGTAAGCAGACACAATAAGAGAAGGTGACGCTTTCCGGCCGGCATCAAATCTGGACGGCGTTGATAGGCCAGAATCCCAGAATCCCAGATCCCCTATCAGTCCGCATGGCTTGATATCACCCTCCTGTACAGTCCCCGACTGACGCAGCAACACGCACGTCGGGAAGGGTTAGGGAGGAAGAGAGGCTGCGGGGGGTTCGCTGTGGGAGATAAGCCGGCGTCTCTCAAACGGCCGGCCGCGGCTGACCGACGTCGACCCGCCGCTGGGGACCACCCGGCACGACAGAACTGGCTACTCGAGACCGCTGAAGGGCGGTTTCTTCTTGTCGTTATCGCCTGCGTGCCCCGTCATGCACACACCTCACCCACCACCAGGAAGACGCATCCACCCGGGATTTCGCACCCGGACAATGAAACGGATAGCCGCCCGAGAGAGAGCCTGTGCCTGTGCCTCGCAACGAGGTGGCGCTTTTACTAGTATCGTCGGCCACCCATCGTTACACGGCAGATGGGCACTGCATTAAGTGACATTACACACCTGCCATGCTTCCGGCAGGCAGGCAGGCAGGCAGGCAGGGCAGGGCAAGAGATAGGTATCGGTCATTCTCAATCCAAGCCACGCCAAGCCATGCCAATGGCCGTTTGCCCGGTGTGCTCTGGCTGTGCTGTGTGCTACTGTGCGGTTTGCTCTCTTCGCTACCCGTACCAGAAATGGCCATCTTTCACATGTTACAAAACCGCCTCTTTTTGCCTCCCTATCAGGGTACAGCCAGCACCTCAATGTATCTGTGGCCACCCCCTCCACCGCGTGCGGCGAAACTCAGCCCACCCGTCAGGGTTACCGCCTTTGGAAGTCCCGAGAGTGTGAGGACCCCTGGATCTTTTTTTATTATTCCTTTATTTTTTATGGCTGGACGGCGGGTGTCCATGTCTGTAAAAAACGGCTGGCACCTTCTGTCCTCCTCAGGACCGCCGATCATCGACCGGTCGCCACGTCGAGGAGGAGGATGTACACCTCCGACTCCCTGCAGTTTTGATATGCCTACCTACCTACCTAGATACACACACAAACACCTTCTTCTATGCACACCCACCACCCACCCACCATCCTCGGCAAGCCTTCCTTCCACGATGCCGCAAGCCGTCGGCCAGGAACTTGGTCTGGTTGGACGACGTGGTTGTTTCGACCTGCATGCATAACCATCTCGTTGCATCTCGTGTCCTTTGCCACCCAGTTCGAGAAGGGGAGGGCGGCGCGTTGCCCTGCAAGCCACCGCTTCACCGGTCGCCTTTGCGCCAAGCGGTCCTTGGCGGGTGTGGGCACAGTAGTAACTGCAGCCGGGGCTAGCCCAATATATGCCGTATACGGCTTGGCGTCCCATGCTACATACATGCCCATCTACCTATCTTCTCACATATCACGTATGCAGCCCATACGGCATGAGTACCACCTCTTGTACAGAGGCCTTGGTCTCGACGACCTAAACCCCGAAGCTGATCCAGAAGTACGTTCCCATCATGTACGTATGCCATTCCATGAGGCAGGCAGGGGCGGGAGCTTCCCCGTTTCAGTCAAGAATCCCGAACCCAGCCCCTCCTCCTCCCTCTCTCCTGCAGATCCGCGCAATCATCTCGGCGGCCGACGCGCCAAGGCGAATAAAACAGAAACATGAATCCCACCACACCCACCACCAAGACAGAACGCCCGGGAATTGGATATACAAAGGCGGGGGTCTGGCCCTCCCCCTCCCCCTGCCATCGCGCGCACGCATCCGTGGATGGCGGCCGGTTTTGGGCGCCCGGGTGGGTGCGGTCAACCGTTGTTGCGTCGTCTTGCGTAATGCGCGACCAAGGCAAGCTCATTCGTTCATCAAACCCCCTTTTGGTCTCGTTTCCCCTCTTTGAAAGTTGACTGGCTCAACCTCGACTGCCCTCTCTACCGGCCGGAAACCATTATCAGATCCCAATTTCCAAAGAGGAGGGGGTCCTGCATAAAATAGCAACCGCAGCGCGCAGGGCGGCCGGTCTGGGCCTGCCGGGGGAAACACGTTGATATTGCGTCACGGTTCACCCCCTCTCTCTATCGGTAGCCCGCCGGCTTTTTGTCCCCTTGACCCCGGCCCTCCAACAAGAGAAAACCTGCATGGACCGGAGAAGGGCTCTCTGGGACCGCTGTGCCAGAACGGCTTGTTCATTCAAAATCCTCCCCCCGTGCAGGACTGCGTGCAGGCGGGGACTCGCATCGCCTGGGGCTCTGATAGATAACTGTGTTTGGGGACACTGCATCTTTCCAGGCGCCGCCGTGAAACCCCCTCTTAGGGAACGCGCCATGAGGGCCTATCTTTAAACAGGGTAGTGGACCAAAACCCGCATTTGACGGCGCGCGCGCGGGGGCAATGGTCGCTGTCATCAACGCCACCATGAAGCACGGCATGGAAACACAGCCGAGAGCGCTGCGTTGACGGGCAGGGCTGGCTCGCGGCTGCCGGCAGGACTTGGGACACAGCACACATCACCGAGTAGCCTTGTGGGGCCTTTGCTCGGCGCTCATTGTTTCGAGATAGCTGTGTTTGGGGCCGCCCGTTGCCTATCTCTCTACCCTCTCGGGGCAAAGGCGACCTCGGGCGGAAGACGGAAGCTCGCGCAGTACATGGTTTTGTTTGGCGCAACAGCCCTGACGTCCCGGACAGAAACCTCGCCGGCATTGCTAGCATCCCCGGGCCTCACCTCGAATCCCAGTTCCTCCGAGACCCTCTTGGAGACCGACTCCCGGACTTTGGCCATGTCGTCATCCTTGTGGCACATGTAATCAAAGCAGTGCACGTGTATCATTGGCAGCTCCGTCTTTGTCCGAGGCGAGAAGAGTGCCTCGTGCCCTGCGTAAAGCCCCCTGAAGCTACCAAGGAACGTGATTGCTAGGGCTGGGAGGTTCATGACGTAGTGCGATATCGTCGGCGGTAAGGGGACGCGCTTCGTCTGCGGTTTCGGTGCCGTCGCACGCTCACTGCGGCGGAATTTGGGTCCTGGTAGGGTCACCGTTACACACTCGCCCTGCGAAGACGCTCTCATTACATCGTCCGCCGCGAATCTGATGAAGTCTTTGGCGTCCCGGTTGAACGGCCGCACGTATTGATGCGCCTAGGGTCGAGGCCTGTTAGCTAGCCATATTGGTGCCACTGGAGAGTGTCGTGGTATTCGTAGCGAGCCATGTAGAGTGCGACATGCGCCATGATCCACGGCTTCATACTAACCTTGTTTTGCTTGGCGGCCCGCTCCATGACGCGATAGCTTTCCGGGTTCTTGTCGTTTGCCCAGACGAAAACACCCCTTTTGCCCGCCGGGATGGCAAAGGGACCAATGCCGGCGAATGCATCGCAGAGCACCTCGCCCGGCTGGACGAGTTCAAAGATGCGCTTGTGTTCCTGGTCGAGCTTGCTGTTCCAGTAAACCTTGCTGTAATCGAATTTATACGTGCATCCGGCCTCTTTCACCTCGACGTTTAGATCGTCTGGCCCGAACAGGACCTCGTAGTTGAAGGTCCTGAACTCAGACTCGGTGCCCACGTTGGAGATCTTGTTGATGACGGTACGAATGTGGTTGTTCTTTTCACCAATCACCTGTCCGATAATGTGCTTGTACGGCTCGAAGTCCTTGCGTAGATTCAGGTGGGCTATGATTGTGAGTTTCGGCTCGGGATACAGACAGTTGCGTGCGCAGAGCATATGGCCTGAGAGGAGGGTCGCTTACCAACGTGGCCTACACAATTGTAGGATGTTGGGATATCCTCCGCATATTCCTCAGGGAGTATCGAACTGAGGATTTCATCTGCGTTCGTCAGCACTTCTCTGGACCGCCATGATCCTGGCCTGGCCCATCTAGCGCGCGGGGGGCCTACAACTCACGGGAATTCCAGAAATCGTAGCCGATCTTGAGTTCATAGGACACCACGTTCAGATCGTCCTTCTCGACACCCTCCTTCAAGACCTCGCCCCAGGTCTCGGGTGCTGTGGTTGCAAGAAAAAAACGAGTTAGTATTTTGAACAAAAAAAAGGTTAATGTACAAATAGACTGAGTTCTTGAATAGGAACCCTCATGCAGCACGACCTTACCAGTCGCACTAATGCCCGGCCTCAGGAGAATGCACTTCCTCCCTGCTGCGGCCAGTGAAGGGTCCGGATGCGGAAAGATAGAAGAGAGTCTCGACACACGAAGAAGATCCTTGCTCTTCTCCAGGGCCTTCTGGTACGGCCCGATCTTTTTGGGCTCCTTCACGGCCGCGGCGGCGATGTTGAAAGTCTTGTCAAACAGGGCCTTGTTCAGCCGCCCGGCCGACCGCACTATTGGAGGCTTGATCATGTTCATGTCTGCGGCCCTTGCGCCCGTAGCAGCTTGATCGTCAGCAGCGGCCATTGTCAGAGTCGTGGGGATGAGTGGGTGGGTGAGTGAGGGGATACAGGCTGACCTCGACAGATACCGCGCGCAGCCCACGCAGAAGAGTCATGAGCACCACCCGGCGAATGTGGTTGGTTGGGTTGGGTGAGAGAGGCAAAACCCGCGAGGCTGATTGGGGGGTTGATTTTGGACCCACATCAAACATCAGCCATCATTTAGCGCTGCCGACGACGCCAATCGTAGTACTTTAGAAAGTACAAGGCTGAGACTAGGCTCGATTTAATACGGATATGATGATGTCACTTCCTACTTCGGTCAAACCTAACACTTCCCCATGTGCTTCCCGATACTGGCGGATGCTGCATTTCCGACATCACCGTATAAACTAAATATCGTCTATCATGTCTAAGAAACGCACTATCGACTCCTTCTTTCCGTCGGCCTCCAAAAAGCAGCGAAAGACTCGGGAGGACGAGAAGCAAAAACCTGTAAGTGAAGGTCGGGCGATGTAAAAGATACAACATGAATGCTAAGGTACCAAAACATCACGTCGAGGATGTGCGGTACACGAAGCACCCGGCCTATCCGCTCCCAATTCCCGAACTCCCAGGGGCCATCAGCCTGGAGCTCTGTTCCCTGCCTGCCAGGCCACCCCGGGTCATCAATGACCGGCCGGAGCTGGACTTGCTCTATTTCCAGCCATTCCTCTCCTCACACGCATCCAAGGCGCTATTCGAGTTTCTGAGGGCCAATCTTCCCTTCTACAGGGTTGAGTACGATATCAAGCGTGGTGGCATCCAGACCCATATCCGCACGCCTAGGTATTCCACCAGCGCCGCTCCCGTCTCGCAATCTTGTTTCCAGACTCTGACTGCTACCCTTCGTAGATACACAACCGTCTTCGGCCTGGACGACACAAGTTGCTTTGATGAGCACGAGGACGTGGTGGATGCGAAGACGGACATGAAGGTCTCCGCGGGCGCGCAAGCGAGGTATGCGCCGCGGCCGATTCCCAAATGCCTCAACGACCTCCGCGTCGCATGCGAGGCAGCAACCGACTGCAAGTTCAACTTCTGCCTTGTCAACTACTATGCGTCAGGCGCGGATAGCATCTCATTCCACAGCGACGATGAGCGCTTCCTTGGCCCTGACCCGCTCATCGCCTCCCTGAGCCTCGGGGCCCAAAGGGATTTTTTGCTGAAGCACAAACCGGTAACGCCTGGAGCGGCGGGCTTAACGGGCATAGACATGGAAGCGACGCAGCTGAAGCTGCCTCTGGCTAGCGGGGACATGATATTGATGAGGGGAAAGACGCAAGCCAACTGGCTGCACTCGATCCCAAAGCGCACGGGGAAAAATCAGCTGGACGGGGGCCGGATCAACATCACCTTCAGGAGAGCCATGATCAAGGCTGGAACAGACAACTACTACAACTATAATGTAGGCAATGGCGCTATGTACTTATGGGACAAGGCTGCTAAGGAAATGCGCGAGAATAAGCAATGAAATAGTAGTGACGGCGTAGCAGCCAACGGGGCATGCGTCTAAGTCTATGTGCACAGCCACCTCGGTGCTATTCGGGCTCCAGAATGTCGAGACGCCCGTCTACTATTTGCCGAATCGCATCTTTGCGCTGGCGTAGTTCTGCAGGCCGCGGAGGAAGACTTGGTATCCCACGCCTTGGTTGTCTTGGACGTGGAACACCTCGGTCAGCCGGATCTGCCAAGGGGGGTAGCCCTGGAGCTCGACGTGGGGGCTAAAGAGGATGAGGAGGTCGGGCTCGCCCATAACACTCTCCGACAGCTCCGCATCGACGAGGTCGATGCTTATATCGACAGGCGACATCTTAGACCGCTGCGCCATCTCGGTCAACGTCTTGGTAAGATCGACTATCGAGTCACGCCCGTCCTCAGCCGAGAGCAGAAGAACCGAGAGGTGCTTGGCGTCCTCGCTGCCGACATGCTCTGCGAGCGGGGCCGACTCGATGGCCTGTGTGTGTGGCGCCTGGAGGGTCAGGGCCGGGTGGTTCCGCCCGTAGTAGGCTGCGAGTTTTTGCGAGACGACACGGTGCACTTGGGGCATGTAACCCTTCAGGACTCCTGCGCGAAGAAGACGGCCAAAGTCAGAACAGCCTCGCGTTTCGGGCAGAGGCCTGCTGGAGCGGCGGGCGACTGAGACAACGTAACAACGTACCTGTTCGCTCGTAGACGGAGAGTAGCGGTATCCCGGCGCATGCGCACCAGGCCGCAATGTCGGCAACCTCATTTACCAGCCGCTCGAGCTCCGAGCCGCCCCTGGCACTGTCGTCGAGGCGCAGGATCACACTCAGGTGCTGCGGGATCCTCTGGAGACCCTTGACGTCGCCCTCGATGATCTCTGGCGTGTGGTGGTGGTATGACAGAATAGAGCGCGTCCGGTCCTTGAGGAAATGGTACACCTGTCGAGTCCTAATGTAGAGGGAGAAAACCGTGTGGATCAAGACGTAGAAGAAGAGGTGCAGCTGGTTGGCAAGAAAGCGACGAACACCGAGGACCGACGGGCGCCTAGCTTTGCTCCTTGCATCGAGAGTGTCCGCGGGCCTCTTAGGGAGATACGGCTATTCGAGTGGGCGTGGACGGGAATGTCAGTTCTGCAGCTCCCTTGCTCTGACATGACGTTGGCGTGGAAACCCCTGCCAGCGCAGCCCGTGTACCGATGGGAGCTTGAGCTTACCTCGATCAACTTGAGCCGTTCCTGGGGGGTCATCAACTTGCCACCGGCCTTGTCATCGCGCCGGTAGCGGGCGGTATCCGCAGCCTGCGTGGGCATGTTTGTGGAGAAGAGGAGGCAGCGCCGGGCAGCCCTGCAGTCGAAGGTAGAGAAGGGAACAGATGGTGGACGGGTTGAGAAATTGTGCAGAGCGACGACCTGGGGAGGTGCAGATGCCAGCGCGTGCGAATATGGATGACTTAACAAGAAATGAAGCGAGCGAGCGTGGTAAGGAATCGGCTGCGGGAGTTACGTAGCATGATGGGATGCCATGCCGCCCAACCTGCTTCCAAGGTGGTGCAATGTCAGACCAAGTTCGTGGGTGCCCCAGCTTGGCATCAATCAGCCTGGCTGGATGGATTTCGGAAAGAGGTGTCCTTGGCTCTTGGCCTCGATTAGACCGGGGCCATTGTGCGCTAGCATTTGATCGAATGAAGGAAGCCGCCAGCAGCCTCAGTGGACTCCCGGCCCCCGCTTCACCACCGCCCAGAGGCAGTCACGTCCTGGGGACTGGCCCAATCACGACTCGTCCAGCCGTGTGTGTGGTTCATGCCAGCAGCCACACCTGTCCACGCAACCACACCACAAGTCCGCGACTAACAGCCGACGACAGCCCTTCCCGCGACCGTCCCTTTTCGGCCTTTGCATAGCCTGCCATTGGGGAAAGCGCAGCGACGGCCCGCCATCTTGGTCGTGCGAGCTTCACGATCCATCCTACCCAGAGCAACTCCATCGTCATCGCTGGCCGATACCAGCTTCCCTGCGCGCGCGGCCCCCGCCGCGTCGAACCGCATCCCCCCCCCCCC